AATACATATATACAAGTTCTCCTATACTAATAATAATAATAATTAAGTATTTTCGTGAATCACAAGATAGACGATACAATTTTAGGTATACTTGAAACATAACAATCATAACAATCGGCTCTCGGAAATGTTTTATACAACGCACATGATACATGTGTAATAGTTATTCCACAGAGTAAATGTCCGAGTACTTTCGTGAGCTCGTTGATATCATAAAGACGTAAAAAATACATACTTGGCGCAAAATATTCAATGACGATGGTATTCCAGCAAAGCACGAAAATAAACTGGCAGTGCAAGAACGTATGTGAACGTTGTTACAGCTGCTGAATCAGCTGTTCCCTTGAATATATTCAAACAATCGGGTACGACTTTTAACGGTGTTTAATAAATTCGAATATCCCGAGTACGGTGATTTGCAAAAATATCGTTACACATATACTCACACCGTGTGTGTTGTATATGTTGTAATAATTGGAAAAATGCGACATGAGACAACAGTCAGAGATTTGGAAGAATTTACTACAAACGTACAGTGTATAGTGCCCAAAATATTAATATAAGGAAATGTTTCTGAATCAATCGTTTGATTTAAGGAAGAATTTTTTACGGCCGGCAAAATAATTATTTAGAATATATGCTCGTGGAAATTAGTAATTCTCTTTCATCCATCACTCGTACCAAGATATTTCCCAACTTTTCCATTCAAAGTTGGCGAAAACTTTCACAACTATATCGAGCCGTGGTAGTTGAAGTCGACCGATTCATCGATCCGTAGAAAGAACAGTTAATAAAAACATAGCTTACTATAAAAGTATTAACTTTATTGCCATTGAAATATAATAATTTAGTTCGTTATAAACATTTCCCCACTTCGATTATTCCATACGAGACCGTAACTCATTTACTAAAGCGTTATATATCAAGTTCTTATTACATACACTTATTAAATCCCATTCAATCTATACAGTGCAATGATCCGCTGACTGTTCAGAGCATACACTCGACCACTCTTCCTTTATCACGTCAGAAGCCTTCTCCGCGATCATAATAACCGGCGCGTTCGTGTTACCACTGACTACATTTGGCATAATAGACGCATCGACAACTCGAAGTCTCTTCACTCCGTAAACTCGAAGCTGAGGATCCACCACGGCCTCTGGATCCGAGGAGGGGCCCATCTTGCAAGTGCCAGCCGGATGATAGATAGTCAGCGTGTAATGTCTGACAACGCATTCCCAATATTGGTCGGTAAACACTGGGATATTCTCACAATCAGGGAACAATTTCGGATTGATTTCGCTTCCGTAACGCTTGAGCGGGGCAGTTTTGCTAAACTCGACCAAAAATTTCATCGCTTCGACCAGTGTCGCTACGTCGAGCGGATGATCCAAGTAATTTGGATATATCAACGGATGGTCAAAGGGATTGTCACTTCGAAGCTTGACGGCACCTTTGCTTCTCGGTCTTAGAAGCATTGGAAGCACGGTCCACGTGCAGGTGTCGTTCAACTCGTTGAACATCGCCTCGTAAGTCTCCCTCCTCATCCCTATATTCCTCCATACATTCCTACCGTTGTCAGTGTTGATCGACGCCGCGACGAAGAGGAACCCTATGTCCGGATAATCGTCGGAGGCGTTCGCGTACTTGGTATTGACGAAGCCGAAACTCTCGACAGCGCCTAACACGGTCAGAGGGCCCTTTCCGAAGATCACGTAATTTAGGATGTCGTAGGCGTTGTATATCTCGCTCTCGATGTACGAAACTGTTTCGTTCACTGTGTACGTAGGTGTTAGCGAGCCTATGTGATCTTGAAGATTATGGCCCACTCTCAGATCCTGGATCACTGGTATCCCGTGTTGCGACAAATGTTCTCTAGGCCCTATTCCGGACAGCATCAGCAACTGAGGGCTGTTCACGGCACCCGCCGACACGATCACCTCTTTACTCGCGTGAACGCGCAACGTTTCTCCATCTCTGACGAACTCCACGCCGTAGGCGATCTTCGACGATGGATCTATCAAAATTTTCGTAACGTGTGCCTCCAAGGCGACGTGTAGATTCTTGCGCGACTTGGCTGGCCGCAGGAAGGCCTTGGCCGTCGAACACCGACTGCCGTCTCTGATTGTTCCCTGAGCGACCATGAAACCAGTTTGTTGTTCTCCGTTGATGTCTATCGCCTCGTAGCCCATCTCTCGGCCAGCTTCGACGAACGCATTGGCCAGAGGAGACTGGTTCGGTGCTTCCTGTACGGTTAGATATCCACCGGCAGAATGGTACCTTGTCTCGACATAGGCGCCATTTTTATTGTCCTCGGATTTTTTGAAGTAAGGCAGGACATCCTCGT